AAACAATACAATGATGGTACGATAAGGTATGACAAAATCAAACGTGCATTCCTTACTACCACTGGTGAACCGCTCAATTTGGATGATGCACTTGCAAATAAGAATTGGAAAGAAGCTATGGATAGTGAATATAATGCACTTATGAAAAATAAGACTTGGCACTTGGTTCCACCAAAGTATGGAAACAATGTTATTGATTGTAAATGGGTGTATAAGATCAAAAGAAAGTCTGACGGGAGCATAGACAGGTATAAGGCTAGACTAGTTGCCAAGGGATTTAAGCAAAGGTTTGGAATTGACTATGAAGATACCTTCAGTCCTGTTATTAAGTCAACTACTATTCGTCTTGTGTTGTCTATTGCTGTTTCCAGAGGGTGGAGTCTACGACAGCTAGATGTTCAGAACGCGTTTCTTCATGGTGTTCTTGAGGAAGAAGTGTTCATGCGGCAACCACCAGGTTATGAGAATCCTAGCACACCACAACATGTCTGTAAGTTGGATAAAGCTCTGTATGGTTTGAAGCAGGCCCCAAGAGCCTGGTATTCCAGACTGAGTATGCAGTTGCAACGTCTTGGGTTCATACCATCCAAGGCAGATACCTCATTGTTCTTCTTTAATAAAGGCAGTGTCACTATCTTTGTGTTGGTTTATGTTGATGATATAATTGTTGCTAGTTCAAGTCCAGATGCCACTACTTGCTTGCTTAAAGACCTGAAGCTGGAATTTGCTCTTAAGGACTTGGGTGATCTTCACTATTTTCTTGGTATAGAGGTAAAGCAAGTTAAAGATGGCATACTTCTCTCACAGGAAAAGTATACAACTGACATTCTCAGGAGAGTAGGATTGGAAAATTGCAAGCCAGTCAATACACCAATCTCTACTTCTGAAAAACTTTCAGTGGAAGGTGGAGAAGCTCTTGGACCAGAGGATGCAACAAACTATAGGAGTGTTGTAGGTGCATTGCAATACTTAACACTCACTCGTCCTGATATATCTTATTCAGTGAACAAGGTATGTCAATATTTACATGCACCTAGAACTACTCACTGGACTGCAGTTAAAAGAATTTTAAGGTATCTCAAGTTCTCAGAAGGTCTTGGTCTCAACATTACCAAGTCTTCCTCTATGCTTGTTACTGCATATTCTGATGCTGACTGGGCAGGGTGTGCTGATGATAGAAGATCTACAGGTGGTTTTGCTGTATTTCTGGGAACTAATCTTGTGTCATGGAGTGCAAGAAAACAGGCCACAGTATCTAGGTCAAGCACAGAGGCTGAATATAAGGCTTTGGTTAATGCTACAGCTGAAGTGATGTGGATACAAACGTTACTGTATGAGCTTGGGGTTAAAACTCCACAGGCTGCGAGATTGTGGTGTGATAATATTGGTGCAACATATCTCTCAGCAAATCCTGTTTTTCATGCACGTACAAAACACATTGAAGTTGATTTCCACTTTGTCAGAGAAAGAGTAGCTCGAAAGCTTCTGGAAATTCGGTTCATTCCTACAGGAGATCAGCTCGCAGATGGTTTTACAAAACCTCTTACCGAAAGAAGGTTGAATGACTTCAAGTACAATCTCAACCTTGGCAAAGCTCCTTGAGGTTTAGATTGAGGGGGAGTGTTGGAATATACGTATAGGGATAGAATTCTTTGTTTAAATTCTGCCTAGCTCTATCCTTTCTTCTGTTCCCGATTCTCCTGTAACGATCTATCTGGTCGATCTCCAGATCGTTCCATCGATCTCTCCTTGTAACTTGTGTGCCAAGGCTTTGCCTCAATATATACATGCGGCCCGAGACAAAGGGTTCTACGCTTCCCAAATACTTTTACAAGTGACACGTCCGCGGGCGTCACATCAGCACCTCCATGATGCCACTCTGCCGAAAGACCTTAGGCCGTGGCCATAACAGTCGCGCCTCCCTGCACTCCCAGCCAGTGCCCCACCTTCGCCCGTAGAGCACCACTGCGCAGTGCCTCTCCAGCCTTCCGTCTTCGACGGGATGGGCGCCGCAACTGCCATCACTGCCGGCAGCAGCAGCGGCCGGAGGAGCCAAGATCGGGTAGGGGAAGTTCTAGTGCGGGGGTGCCTCCGGAGCCGCTCAGGGAAGGAGTGACCCGGGAGGGAGATTGGATCTCGGGAGGGAGCAAGTAGTACCGCTCATGCCACTTGATCATCTGTTTTAGAGGAAAGTTGTTTGATCATTTTGGCACACACAAAAAAAAGTTGGTCTTCTTTCAAATATTTTGATTTGTAAATCCGGGATGACTTGACCAAAACATGCTGATAACTTTTCTGTTGGCCTGCGTTGCAGCTCTTTTTATTAAGAAAAAACAACCATGTGGCAGTGCCAGTGGTTCTCATAACTTGATAGAAAGATTTTAGCATAGCATGTTTTCATTTGCAATCTGGAATGATATATTGAAGTTGAACCATACGACTATCTAGGAGAGCGTGGTGGTGGGCTATCTTCGTGCAGTTTGGCATTGGCGTATTTCATAGTAGTTTGGCAAGTGGCGTATTTCGGGCTACCTTTTCATAAACCTGCCTCAGCAATGAACTTTGATCCTCAGTTGCCATTTAAATTTCCACAGGAGGGATACAGAAATTGACCTTCTTCATGAAATTATTTTTTCTTCTAATGACAAGCCAAAGCTCCTTTGTCAGGTAAAGACATAGGAGTATCGGTCCATCGGCCGTGTCATACTACTTGTATCAACTTCTACAAAATTTTGAGTTATTGTTTTGTAGCTATCTACATTGGTATGCGATCTTGGATTGAACATTTGTGAAGCTCACGTGTTCTCAACAACAGATGGATTGTGTTTGGGCATATTTGTTGTTGATGGCTGGCATACAGAGGTAAACTTAAAGCATGGTTATACTGGAGCACATCTATACACGTGCGACATCTTAATGATAACTCAAAAGTGGACGTATTTATGTAGTTCCAGTTACTTATGAGTTTATGTGGTTCCCCTAGTTATTGTCAATGAAATAAAAAATCGTGGGCACCGTCTTAGTTGATAGCTATTTAGCTTATAACGTGGTCATAGAACATAGAGCTGTATTTTGACATTAGCCAATGAATTTGGAGTGCATGCCTAGGTAAGACGGAGTAACCGAGTTCTCAATGTGCTCTGTAGATTCTTATGAGTAGTGGAGCATCTGTAGGTTATATTACACATTGTTAATTCCAAAGATTTTTTTGAGTAAAATATCACCTGACGCTATATGCAGGAGACAGATGGTTTGCTGCAGCAGCTCAAGGGGACAGCGAAACGTAATGTAAGCTTTCTCTTCTTTTTTAGTTACATACTTACGTATCTGCCTGGTCAGTTATACATAGGTGCTGGTAATTCAACTTTTCTAAGTATGCAAATGCAGTTGTGTGCTGTAAATGCATGCAGAAAGCATTGCAAGAATTAACAAGTTGTGTCTAACCTTTTCCTAACAACTTTAACTTCCTTGTGGTACGCAGCCCTCATTATGTAATCTAACAACTTCAGCCTCGGAGAGAATACTAGAGCTGCAAGAAAAGATTGAGATTCTGAATTCGACTGGGATCTGTTGCAGATTGAGGAAAGGATCGCATCTAAATCTTCTGGTGACTTGTAAGAACTACATAGCACTTGCTTAGTAAATAGAGGAAAGAGTAACATGAATTAACTATTTAGAATGACAGACACCACTTAACTGCTATACTATGCTAGTGGGGATTTCATGCCCTTTTCTAGCATGTTTTCACAGTGAAATAGGTTCACAAGGGACACTGCCAACAAACATAGTGAAATCATCTGTATTATGATTTGTGGAAACTTTAGGACAACCCAGTAACCAGTATTTTTTTTTATTTTGCAGATATCGAGGAACTTACCTTGGTGTGGATGTTGCAATGAAGTACCTTAGAACTGGACATGCTAATGATGATTCAAAAGTGGAGTTTTTGCAACAAATAATGATTTTAAGGTATGTTTTTTTTATTTCTGCGACGCATAAACGACTTAGTTCCAGAAGATGCTAACACAATATAATCATGTACAGGAGTGTTAATCATGGAAATGTCATTCGCTTTTATGGGGCATGCACAAAGCATCGAAAGTATCTCATTGTAACAGGTCAGACACTAATATTGCTTGTTGTAGTATGGATAGCAAACAGTGTCCTTGTTGCAGACTCACATGAAAGTACTGTTATCCATGGGCACAGTTACACCATGAATAGCATTGGTGACTAAAAATTGGAGGTCGTGCTTAAATAGCTATTGATAACACATTTGATAAGCTTGATTTAGAAATAAAAAAAGAAAGAAAAGCTGAGCTCGAAAGACGGGGGATAAATCCCGTCTTCTATGCATTTTGGTAGGGACTTGAAGAGTAGATAAGTTAGACAAGATTATCTACACCATGCTGGAACATAGACATAGTACAAGTCAGACAAGAATGCAAGATATGTCTCTGATTAGAGGAATCCTGTTGCTCTGTTTCTATCAGATCGACAGGTCTCCGCCCATCCTTCAGTCAGCCTATCATGCCTATCATTTGGTAGCTACTATTTCATATATGAGATATTAATATTTGTCTCCATAATTACATAAAGTTGCATTTTGGAATTTAATAGGCAAATTCTACACCATTTACATATGGGCACAAAGAAGATGTGCTGCTGGACATGCTCACTACCTGAAGCTTGCTTACAATTTGTTCACTCTCATTCTCTGCATTCATTCTATGTTTTCGTCTTGTGTGTGTATGTAGAATTGTAGATCGCTGTTGGGGCGGATCCCTGCACTGATCAGCTGCTTATGTTTTATTATCTGTTTGTTTGTACAAACTTTTACTTCTCAGGTTTCTGATAGTGAAAATCTGAGGCTTCTGTCTGGTTCCCACTTAAAAAGAAGTCTGTCTAGAGTTCATTTATTTAGTTATTATGAAGCAGTTTGTAATTTTCTGTTAACTGATATTTTGCTCTTTTTATCGTGTGTGATTGCTTCAGAGTACATGGCTGGAGGTAATCTGTATAACTTCCTTCACAAGCACAAAAATACCTTGGAGCTTTCGTTGATTCTTAGGATTGCTATTGGCATCTCGAAAGGGATGGATTATTTGCACCAGAATAACATCATCCATAGAGATTTGAAGTCTGCCAATTTATTACTTGGTGATGCTCAAGTATGCATATTGTTCTTTTAGGGTCAAGTGTGCATACTGTTATAAAGCCATGTACTTTTCATGTCAAGATTATAAAATGATAATTGGTTGTGGTTCTTTCGAAATAGGTCGTGAAGATTGCAGATTTTGGTGTCTCGCAAGAGGGAGATATGACTTCCGAAAATGGTACCTATAGATGGATAGCACCTGAGGTGTGTTATCGGTTTGTTCATTGTCCTTTAGCATCCTTTCCCCTTCCTAGAAAATATCCAATATCCAATATTTGCTCGACCACTCTTTTGTTGTTGCAACACACATATATCAAGACTAAATCCCTGAACCTCGTGCGGAAACTATGTGCTATAACTTGGTAACGAATAGCCTGTCCTGTTTTCCTTCTCTATTTTATTAGTCATCAACATCTTCACAGCAAGTGACAGGTTCTATGGAACCGAGGCATTGTGCCTACAGGATGTACTTATTAGAATTTCTTGCCATGCCAGGTGATAAACCATAAGGCTTATGATCACAAGGCAGATGTCTTCAGCTTTGCTATTGTTCTATGGGAGTTGGTCACTTCAAAAGTAAAACGTTGGTGTTCAGTGTTCATAGAACATCAGTACTTTGATTAAAAGTAATAACCTTGCTTGGTCCTGCTGTACAGGTCCCATATGAAAACATGACACCATTGCAAGCGGCACTATCAGTAAGGCAGGTACGATATTAGATGCCAACGAAGTTAAATTACAGTCTTGGTATTGTTTCATCAGCTTTTGATAGTGGACGTGCAAGTATGAAAAGTGAGCATTGCTCCTTGTTTGTCAGGGAATTCGCTTGGTGATTCCCTCGAGCGTGCATCCGAGATTGTCTAAATTGATTCAACGGTGTTGGGGTGAAAACCCCCATACACGACCCGTTTTCTCTGAGATCACCGCAGAACTGCAAGATATCTTGCAGACTTTTCAGGTTAGGTTGCTGCTGGATCTGTAGGCCTTAAGGATCATGAGAAGATGGGATTTGAAAACTAAATGAAATGAAGTTATTCTGGTTAATATTTGACGGGTTCCTCGGACTAATGAAAAGCAGCATGTTTCTGCAGCCGCCTCCAGGTCCAAAGGAAGCCATCGTTGTATGAAACAAAAGATACAGATGAAATCATAGCGATAGAAAGAAAGCGCCGACCCAAGTAGCTGGGCCCTTTTTTCACCATTGTCGCGCGCAAACACTGGGACATGCGTAGACCATCTTCTGTATATATATGCCATGTATATAATTTTGTGCTCGGTTGTTT